CCAGGCTGGAGTGCAATGGTGCGATCTTGGCTCACTGCAACCTCCGCCTCCTGGGTTCAAGTGATTCTCCTGCCTCAGCCTCCCCAGTAGCTGGGACTACAGGCATGCACCACCATGCCCAGCTAATTTTGTATTTTTAGTAGAGACGAAGTTTCTCCATGTTAGTCAGGTTGGTCTCGAACTCCCAGCCTCAGGTGATCCACCCGCCTTGCCCTCCCAAAGTGCTGGGATTACAGACTTGAGCTACTGTGCCTGGCCTGGAAGATCTTTTTCAATTCAGATTAAATTGAAAGCTACAATAGTCTTTTTCTTTTCTTTTTTTTTTTGAGATGGACTCTTGCTCTGTTGCCCAGGCTGGAGTGCAATAGTGTGGTCTCAGCTCACTGCAACCTCCACCTCCCAGGTTCAAGCAATTCTCCTGCCTCAGCCTCCCGAGTAGCTGGGATTACAGGTGCCTGCCACCACGCCCAGCTAATTTTTTGTATTTTTAGTAGAGAGGGTGTTTCGCCATGTTGTCCAGGCTGGTCTCAAACTTCTGACCTCATGATCCACCCACCTCAGTCTCCCAAAGTGCTGGGATTACAGGCGTGAGCCACTGTGCACGGCCAATAGTCCTCCTATTAAAAGGAGTAAAAACTCATCTACCAACCCAAGGTAGCCAGAAACAGAAGCACTCATCAGAAACAGAAAGAAAGCTAAAAAAAAAAAAAAAAAAAAAAAAAGCCATTGTTAACTGATAGAAAAAGTCATTGCCCACTTTTAGGGATCTGGAGACAGACATTTTGCACTCATTTTGAAGGGCACAGCCCTCCCCAGCAATGCAGTTGACATGAATGCTGTTACTTTAAAATCTTAGAACTATAAACAACTTCAAATGCGCAAGTGGTTATCTCAAGATTTCGAGTAATTGATAAAGGCAAGAATAGTAGGCTATATGAAGAACTTGGGGCCAGGGATGGTGACTCATGCCTGTAATCCCAGCACTTTGGGAGGCTGAGGTGGGTGGACCCCATCTCTACCAAAAATATAAAAAATTAGCCGGATGTGGTGGTGTATGCCTGTAATCCCAACTACTTGGGAGGCTGAGGTAGGAGAATCGCTTGAGCCTGGGAAGCGGAGGTTGTGGTGAGCCGAGATTGTGCCATTGCACTCCAGCCTGGGCAATAAGAGCGAAACTCTCTCTCAAAAAATTGAAAGGGCACCTGTGATTAAGTCACTATCGCATGGATAATTTCCCTATGTTAAGGTCAACTGATTTGTGATCTTAATTACATTTGCAAAATACCTTCACTGCAGCACCTAGATTGGTGCTTGGGAGGTATGTCTATACCAGGGCAGAAAATTTAGGGGTCATCTCAGAATTTTTCCGACTACATTGGTTTTCAATTTTGAAATCTACCTTAGATTCTAGACCAGTTGTTTTCAACTGGGGTTAGAGGAGATTTTTATACTCCTCCCCAGGAGACAATATCTTGAGACATTTTTGGATGTCATCTGGTGGGTAGAGGCCAGAGATACTACTAACCCACCTACAGTATATGGGAGAACGCCCCACAACAAAGAATTGTTAGCCCAAGATGTCAGTAGTGCCAGGATTGTGAAACCCTGCCCTAAGCAAAACAGGAAAGACAATTATTACAGTGCAGAGTTAGAATTATCAACATCAGTCATGTAAATGTAAAAGTATAGCTGATGTGACACAAGATGAAACATAGGAGGATAGTGTCATAAGACCAAGAGGTTCATATACCCACTGTGCAGTAACAGACTGATATATTGAGACAGCAGAGTTTGCAGCAGAGAGAGTTTAATGATTACATGGTGCTGAGTCAGGAAGTAGGAGAAGATTCCTAAATCTCTGAAGAGTTCTGGGCTGGAGTTTTTAAAAAGATCATGGAAGGCAAGGGGCTGGAAAATTTGGGTCACTGATTGGTCAGGGTAAGGGAGATTAAATCATTAGGATATGGAAATTGTGTTCTTTGATGATTTAGCTTCTGGTAGGGTCCTTCAGACCAGCTGACATCAGTATGCAGGACCTGAAAGAATGTCTCAAAGGGAAAACTTAACATTTCATAATGTTCAAGCTGTTATCTATAGAGCAGTTAAGGGGAACTATAATCTTGTAACAGACTCCACGTAATTCTGAGGCAATAGGCAAACAACTATGAGGAAGGGGTCAGCGAGCAAACTGACCTAATGACTAATGCTGAATGTGCTGCAAGCTTGGATTATTTACGTGTTTCTCACCCTCTCTTCTTCCCTGATTTATTTCATAAAGTTTATAGGGACAGTTTCAATGGGAGGAAAAGGAAAGGAGTATGGAGTATTATGTACATCTTACATAAAGACTAATACATAAGCCAGGCGTGATGGCTCATGCCTGTAATCCCAGCACTTTGGGAGACCAAGGCAGATGGATCACTTGAGATCAGAAGCTTGAGACCAGCCCAGCCAACATGATGAAACCCTGCCTGTAACAGAAAATACTAAAACTAGCCAGGCGTACTGACACACACCTGTAATCCCAGCTACTCGGGAGGCTGAGGCACGAGAATCCCTTGAACCTGTGAGGCAAAGCTTGGAGTGTACTGAGATCGTGCCACTGCCCTCCAGCCTGTGTGACAGAGTGAGACTCTGTATCAAAAAAAAGAAAAGAAAAAAGAAAAAAGTATTTAAAAAAGACTAATAAATGGAAGACAAGTATATTATTGAAAGTTACAGAGATAAAGAAAAATAATTGTAATGAAACATCAAGCACTAGGATGAGGAGAAAGAAGGGAAGAGATAAGCAAAAAAATGATACTTTAAGCATTTCATTTGAAATCACAGAAGTAACCACTAGAACTTAAACTTTTAAAAGGATTAAGAAAGCCAGGTGAGGTGGCTCATGCCTGTAATCCTAACACTTTGGGAGGGTGAGATGGGAGGATCGCTTGAGCCCAGGAGTTCAAGACCAGCCTGGGGAATATAGTGAGACCCTGTCTCTACAGAAAATAATAATTAAAAAAAATAGACAGACATGGTGGCACATGCCTGTAGTCCCAGCTACTAGGCAGGCTGAGGTAAAAGGATTGCTTGAACTCAGAGGTCAAGATTGTAATGAGCCCAGATTGCTCCACTGCTCTCCAGCCTGGGCAAAAGAGCAAGACCCTGTCTCAGAAAAAAAGATTACAAGATGTTGCCTCAAGGATAGGCCTAGGAATAGGGAGGATAGGCTGGGAGGATGTTATTTTTATTATAAATTCTGCTGTACTTTTGATTTTTTTAATCACACACCTATATGACTTCAATAAAAATGTAACTTTTCAAAAAGAAAACTTAAAAGGATTAACCAGGTGATTTACTCATGATATAGTAACAGTATTCACTCTTAGTACAATAATAGTGCATAGTACAGTAACAGTGATAATGTTTTACTAAGCACATGCAATAACCTGTAAAATGTAATTTCTTTAAGAATCTGGTTTTGGCCGGACGCGGTGGCTCACGCCTGTTATCCCAGCACTTTGGGAGGCTGAGGTGGGTGGATCACGAGGTCAGGAGATTGAGAGCATCCTGGCCAACATGGTAAAACCCTGTCTCTACTAAAATACAAAAAATTAGCCGGACATGGTGGTGCGCACCTGTAGTTCCAGCTACTTGGGAGGCTGAGGCAAGGGAATTGCTGGAACCCAGGAGGCAGAGATTGCAGTGAGCTGAGATGCACCACTGCATTCCAGCCTGGTGACAGAGCGAGACTCCATCTCAAAAAAAAAAAAAAAAAAATCTGGTTTCCAAGGCACACTATCTTCAGACAAAGTTTCAATTATTTGCATTGCAAAGAAATCAGTTTTTAAAATATATCATGTAAACCTACTGTCATTCATAGCTACCCAACAACTGTGTAGCATTGTAGATCAAACTAGAAGAAACAAAATGGAAAATAATTAAAGTTATTAGTTGAAAGAATTAGACACCAGTGTTTTGGTATCTCAACTCTTATTAATGTTGGTTATTATGGTTAATTTAAAATTGTGGTTATTATTTTAAGTTACTCTTATATTTTATGATTTTTTTTCTTATTTAAAAGGCTTGTCTCTGCCACTTACTGTGTGATCTGGGCAAGTCATTTTACCTCTAAGAGCCTCAAGTTTCCTCATCCATAAAGTGGAAATATAAATAAAAAGCTTGCAGAAATGTCAGGAATATAAATAAGTTAAATGCTAAATAGTCAATGAAGGATATTAGGCAAAGGCCAGTTTTGGTGGCATTTTAACCTATGGAGACTCAGTGCTTCTGTGTGTCCCATTATCACCTTCAAGACATCCTGGCAACACCACTGCCTGGGACTAGCCAGCAGGGAGACCCAGGACACCTGCCACCTGAAAAAGTGGCTCCTGCTTTCTATTGGCTTTTTGTGAACACTGGGCTCTTACCTATCTCAAAGCCTCTATGGACAAAAAAGAGGCCAAAAGAGGAATGGCACAATGGTATCAACTCAAACATATGAGCCGGGTGCAGTGGCTCATGCCTGTAATTCCAGCACTTTGGCAGGCAGAGTTGGGTGGATCACTTGAGGTCAGGAGTTTGAGACCAGCCCGGCCAACATGGGGAAACCCGTCTCTACTAAAAATACATAAATCAGCGGGGTGTGGTGGCTGGGCGCCTGTAATACCAGCTACTTGGGAGGCTGAGGCAAGAGAATCACTTGAACCTGGGAGGTGGAGGTCGCAATGAGCTGAGATTGTGCCACCGCACTCCAGCCTGGGCAACAGAGTGAGATAGTGTCTCAAAAAAAAAACCAAACACAACAAAAACGTGTAAGAAGGGTGGAAGAGGAGCTAAAAGATGCAGACTCCTTGTTTAGGCAGAGCGTAAAATCACCACACAGAGGACCAAACTCTGGGCCCCTAACTAGTGCTGCTCCAAGAACTGACTGCGGGAGGCAAAATGTTCTGGACAGCAAGGCAGGCTTTTTGTTCTTTTCAGTATGAGAAAATTTCAATTCAAACAATGGTAGCTACTCAAACTAGATGTTTTGAAGTTATATTTAGTTTACACTTTTCTATTTAGAAAAAACCTCTAATATTTATGAACTCTAACTGACAAAATAAGTATATAAATTCACATAGGAAATTCTTACCAAAAACATTAAACCTGAATTTGATTATAAGAAAATAATTAGGCCAGGCACTGTGGCTCACACCTATAATCCCAGTTCTTTGGGAGGCTAAGGTGGGAGGATCGCTTGAGCCCAGAAGGTTGAGACCAACCTGGGCAACACAGTGAGACCCTGTCTCTACAAAAAATAAACAAAATTAGCCAGGTGTGGTGGGTATGCACCTAGTTCCAGACACTCGGGAGGCTGAGGTGGGAGGATTGCTTGAGCCCCAGATGTTGAGGCTTCAGTGAGCCAAAATCAAAATTGTGCCACTGCACTCCAGCCTGGAAGACACAGCAAGACCCTCCCTCAACAAAATAATATTAAAAATTGAAAAAAAAGGCAGAGGAACTTTATTAGATTGAAAGACATTAAAGAAAAATAACAATTATTTGCAGTATGTATGTCAACCTTGATTGTTTACTGGATTGAAAAAAAACTACATAAAATGCTCTCTAAATAGTTGGGAAAATTTGAATATGGAATATATGAGATGAAATTGTTAATTTTTTAGGTATAAAACTGACAATGTGATTAGGTAGAAAAATGTCTTTATTTTAGAGTATGTCAAGTTATAACACCAAAAAGAAACTAGGGGTGAAGTGCCATGATGTTTGCAACTTATTTTCAAATGGTTTAGCAAACAAGGTATATTTTAAAAGTTATAATATTTTATATAGAAACACATACAAAGAGAGGAGAGAGAAAGCAAATGTGACACAATATTAACAATGATTAATCTAGGTGAAAGATATATAGATGTTCATTGTACCATTCTTTTAACTTCTCTGTAAGTTTGGAAAACTATAATTAAAAAGTTGTGAGAAGTTATATCTATATGCTCCTCTTAAAATATTATATGAAGATAAGCACTATTATTATTATTATTATTTTTAGAGACAGGGTCTCATTCTGTCACCACGCTGCTCACTGCAACCTCAAACTCTCCCAGACTCAGGTGATCCTCCCACCTCAGCCTCCCATGTGGCTGGGATCATAGGCAAGTACTACCATGCCTATGTTTTTTTGTTTGTAGAAATGAGGTCTTGCTATGTTGCCCAGGCTGGTCTCAAACTCCGGGACTCAAGTGATCCTCCTGCCTCAGCATCCCGAAGTGCTGGGATTACAGCTGTGAACCACCGTACCCAGCCAGCATTATCTTTTCATTTCATCTTCCAGTTGTGTATATTATTGGCTACATTTGCATACCACACAATTGTTCATTTTTTAAAAAACAATATTTTGTTTTGTTCTGTTGTCTACAATAAGGAGAATTCAGATGATAAACTTACAACCAATCATGGCCAAGTCCACTTGAGGAATTGTCTCTGTAGATTCATTTGTAGACTCTCTAATAAGGAGTTTTATGGTCATATGTTTCGTGTTTCCCCTGATGTGCCCTGTTACTGTTCCTCTTGCTGTGGTGTTTCTTCCTGTGGCAAACGTTTCCTTTACCATTTTTCTTGGCTGCTTGCACTTTCATCCACTGCTTAACAGTATGGTTGTGCGGGCTAACACAGATTCTTCTGCGCTTGACATGAAGTCTGTTAGAAAGGGAAGCAAAAGAAAGTCACTGATAGAAAATATATATAAATAACCACTAAGTGACTTACCTGCAGCTCCCACTTTGGGACACTGTATTCCTAGAGACTAAATTCAGACTAAATTTCTGAATTCAGTGTAGAAATGAAGTGAATTCTAAAGTTGAGCACCACAAGGTTCAATTTTGACTTCACAAGCACTGCTGCCTGTGGGTCCTCAGATATCAGCAGAGAGTATTAAAAGAAAGAGGAGGAGAAGAAGGAATTGGATGAGGAGCAGGAGAAGGAGAAAAGGAATGAGAAAAAAGAGGAAGAAGAAAGGAGGAAAAGAGATAATAAAAACCAAGTGAAAACAATTATCTTCCTTGACTTCAAGCTTCACCCAACAAAGCCAATTCATCCTCACAGCCCATCTCAAACACATCCTTAAGGTTTGTTTGAGGTTTTTCTGATCCGTAAGGATTTGTAGATTCTCTCAGCTAGATGCTGTCCTTTTTCCCCTCTGATTCTCCACAATGAGAGTTACTTACCTCTTTTCTGGCACTTAGTTTATGCTGTCTTTTATCTGAATACTCACCTCATCTCTCCTACTGGAGATATGTTCCTTGAAGGAGGAATAGTCTAGAAGTTTCTTGAAAAGGCCTTATTCAAAACTTTAATTTAAAACTTAAACAATTTAAAACTTAAATTAACAAAACAAAACTAAGATATTCTAGGCATTCGTTAACATTTTAATATGATATAGATCTATGACACAGTTCAGAATGTGCTTTCATTTTCATTTTTCTTTTTTTGTTGTTTAGATGGAGTTTCACTCTTGTCACCCAGGCTGGAGTGCAATGGTGTGATCTCGGCTCACTGCAACTTCTGCCTCCCAGGTTCAAGTGATTCTTCTGCCCCAGCCTCCTGAGTAGCTGGGATTACAGGTGTGCACCACCACACCCAGATAATTTTTGTATTATTAGTAGAGACGGGGTTTTACCATGTTGGCCAGGCTGGTCTTGAACTCCTGAACTCAGGTGATCCACTCACCTCAGCCCCCAAAGTGCTAGAATTACAGGCATGACCACCATGCCTGGTTCATTTTCATTTTTCTATATGAAGTTCTCACAGTGGGTTGAGAGAATGCTAGGGCAGCACGCACAGTTTCTTTTTTTTTTTTTTTTTTTTTGAGACCGAGTCTGGCTCTGTGGCCCAGGCTGGAGTGCAGTGGCGCGATCTCAGCTCACTGCAAGCTCCAGCTCCCGGGTTCACGCCATTCTCCTGCCTCAGCCTCCTGAGTAGCTGGGACTACAGGCGCCTGCCACCACGCCCGGCTAATTTTTTGTATTTTTAGTAGAGATGGGGTTTCACCTTGTTAGCCAGGATGGTCTCGATCTCCTGACCTCATGATCCGCCCGTCTCGGCCTCCCAAAGTGCTGGGATTACAGGCTTGAGCCACCGCGCCCGGCCTTGCACGCACAGTTTCTGGTAACTAGAAGAATTTTTTGTTGAAAAAGATATTGGTGACTTCTAATTTCCCCACGAGGGGTCATCAGCTCTTACCAAATGTTACAAATCCTGCTGGCTCTACATATACAGTATTTCTGTGTCCAGATAAATTGAAACTCCTGACCCTGTTATTCAGGGAAAAAACAGAGGTGGAGTAGAGAGTAGGCTGCTGTTTTTCTAGATGACCTAAGTTGAATCATTATCAGCTAATGTAGGGACTCCTGAAATGGGAGAAAAGTGGGGAGAATGGGGGGAAAGTAACAATGAGCTTTAACATAATAAAGCCACCACGTGGGGAATATTAATTTGAAAGAAGTAGAGCATCTTAATAAGAGAACAATATATTTGCTATGTGTATTAGATACAGAGACTTCAAAAAAAAAAAAAGCACCACCTATTTCTCACTATGGTCAGTTGGTTTGCTATCATAGGAGAAAACATGGCTGTACCACTGCTGCGTAGGAAACAAAAACAAACAAACAAACAAACAAACAAACAAAAAACTGGCATTGAAGCTCCTACCCTTTCCAAAGGACTAAAACTCTTGCTTCTCCCTGTGATGTCAGAAAGAAACTGAGCAGATAAAAATTTCAGTGACATGCAGGCCGGGCACAGTAGCTCACGCCTATAATCCCAACACTTTGGGAGGCCGAGGCAGGCAGATCACCTGAGGTCGGGTGATCGAGACCAGCCTGGCCAACATAGTGAAACCCTGTCTCTACTAAAAATACAAAAATTAGCTGGGCATGGTGGCATGCACCTGTAATCCCAGCTACTTGGGAGGCTGAGGTAGGAGAATTGTTTGAACCTGGGAGACGGAGGTTGCAGTGAGCCGAGATCGTGCCACTGCACTCCAGCCTGGGCAACAAGAGGGAAACTCTGTCTCAAAAAAAAAAAAAAAAAAAAAAAAAAAAAGATTTCAGTGACATGCAGATAAGCCCACAAGTTACACAGGACAGAGCTAGGATTCAAGTCCATTATGAAAATAAGAGAGATGGTACTCAGGGAGGGGCATTGGCACCGGGGCTGAAGGAGAGAACCAGATGGAAGAGATATAGACAGAGGATTCACAGAGGTGGAGGACCATAGGAAAATACGCAACAACTAGCACGTGGGCTTTTTCAAAGATTGCTGGTGACGCAAGCTCCCAATGTAATTCAACCAGGAAAAAAAATCAGCTACCAGAACACAGCTCCCAAATCTGAGATCCTATGATGTTTTAGAATCCTAAAGTTTAAAAACTTCTTAAATCTCTACTTGGATCCCATGTATTTTCCACCAGGATAGAAAGAGATGAAGTAATGTTGGAAAGGGGGCTGGCCTATTCCACATTCCTTCCCCTACTCGCAATTCCATAGTATTCTGATGGGCACCAATCCCCACCTTCCCAATGGTGAGTTTGTAGGTGGAGAGTTTTGACTGTAAGAAATCATGAGGCCAATCCCTGATTTTTTTTTTTTCTTAACCCACAGGAGGATAGCTGGAGGTAGTCTGATGGACGTAAAGGGGTGGCCCTGCCATAGAGATTATACCTTTAATATCCCCTAAACTTTATTTCTTTACCCATTCCTCGAAACACAACGTCTCACAACCACATCTGAAAAACTACTCAAGCCTTCCAGATAATTCTATTTAAAAACCTCACATTTTCTCACAACAAAAAATGTCTGTTTGATTAAGAATCCTCTGACCTCTGCCCAACATAAACAACTTTTTTTTTTGAGACGGAGTCTTACTCTGTCACCCAGGCTGGAGTGCAATGGCGCGATCTTGGCTCACTGCAAGCTCCGCCTCCCGGGTTCACGCCATTCTCCTGCCTCAGCCTCCCGAGTAGCTGGGACTACAGGTGCCTGCCATCACGCCCAGCTAATTTTTTTGTATTTTTAGTAGAGATGGGGTTTCACCGTGTTAGCCAGGATGGTCTCGATCTCCTGACCTCGTGATCCGCCCGCCTCAGCCTCCCAATGTGCTGGGATTACAGGTGTAAGCCACCGCACCTGGCCATGAAAAACAACTTTTTACTGTATTTATGTTCAGAAACATCCAGAAGCTCATTAATGAAGTCACTGTAGAGGAGTTTGAACAAGAAAACTGCTGTCTCAGGCATCAAAAACTACAATGACCATTTATAAGGTATAAAACAAAGGACCTATTTTTAGGCAGAAAAGAAAAAAAGCCTAATAAGTTTACTGTACGTTGATTTATATTACTTAATTGTTATTAGTAATACATGCTATTTGGGAATTATATTTCCAGTGTTAGCAATGCTTTCTGCATCTTAAATACTTTCTCAAATCTTAAAGTCTTTATACCCAGTCAGGGTTAAGGGACTACATTTTAGATAATGTAGACATGCTCCATACTAAACTAATCTGAAAACAAGAGAATCTTTATCTATTTATGTTGAACATCAGGAAACACAACAGAGAGGATCCATAACTTATGGTTAAAAAATACTACAGAGTTTAATTTTATTTGAGATTAGGTCATAGCAACTCTGTATTTTTCAGCTTTGTTAGCACAGAGGTCAATTTACAAATTATGCTTGAATAAAGTAAATATTTTTGGATCCAGGTGATTGGCTTCCTAGTACCTCTTTAGTTAAAATTGAGTCCTTTTTAAAATGAAGACTTATGTTTCTGATTATATTTTGCCTTATCACAGCAAAACATCATTTCCATTCCTATGCCTTTCAGATCTCTGACACCTGCTTATCCCAAAGAAACATCCCTGAAAATCCTGTTACCAATAGCTTCCCTGGATAACCTCCAGAATCTGTCTTATACACCCACAGAAACTTGCTCTGTTTTTTTTTTCTCCAAGCCTTTCTGGGAGTCCTATCGGAGCCCTTACAAGCTTCAAGCTTCAAGTCTGAGGTGATATATGCCAATGAGGTGGAAGGAATTGAGAGGAGCTGAAAATTTGGAATTTCTCAGAGCAACTGGAGCAGGTTCAGACAGATTTAGTGCAGCTGTGTCCACTCGACACAAATATCCAGCTGTTTCTAACCACCTAAAGCATTGTCTATCCATGCATTGTCTATGCATGCATTGTCTATGAACTTTTTACTCTCCAACTATTATCAACAGTATTCTTTAAGATTAAATAAAAGACTGGTAGAATCTCAGCCACACATATACCAAGGAGTTTTTCAAAGAAGTTGGGAACTTGGAGCACCCCTCAGAATCCTCACTGGTATATAGTCCCTGGAGTATCACAGGTGATGCTGGTTCCCAATGACTAAACCACCTGAGCCAATGGAGCCAGGTGGTGGCTTGAACTGAGATGCTGAGGAAATTATCAGTCTTCTCCGTTCTCCCACAAAGACACTCATGCTTAATGCAAGTTTGGATCAAGAATTGTTTCCTCCCCTACATCTGACCCTGAGTGTGATCTTTAAACTTTATTCGATCTCAGAACCGTTGAGAATCTTATAAAACCTATGGACCTTCTACAAATGCTCACAGGTTCATACACAAAAATTTCAGGAAGTTCACAGCCCCTAACCTGTTGAAAGTCTATCAACAGACATCTTACAGACTCTTCCTCTGAACTTTTAAGAACCCTTATCTTGGAGCAGTTTTTCCTCAAAATTGAATAATAGATAAATCCCTCTGAAAGGGGGTAAAATACATTTCAAGTTCCAGAGATCATCTTAAATCATAAGATGATCTGCAGAACCCAGCTGGATAAAGAGTCCCCTGGAGACTCTAGGCAGACAGAACCCATTTTGTCACCACTGCATCCCCAGCATATAGAACAGTGCCTGGCGCATAATCATTAATTCATTAATATTTGTTGAATTCACTGAAAGAATAAGGTTTCTGAGTGACTCGGGAACTCAGGGATAAGCAACGGGTTTATTTATAGCCCAAAGAAAGGAGCACCAAATGACTCACTAGCATCACCTGGAGCCACAAATGGTGTTTAAACCTGCATGCCAGGGAGATGCCTGATACTCAGATGCAGTAGAGTTTGGAGAGGGCATTTTATGGTTAGTCCCACCACTGCTTTAGAATGACATTGGAGGTATACAGTGTTCTGAACTGAGAGACCTGGGTTCACATCCCGTTTCTGCAATTCACGAGCTGTACACAAGTGAACCGTGTAACCTGAGTCACAGCTTTCTCCTGTGTGTGATCGGGAGATCATTTATGCTTTCCTCACAGCATTGTTGTCAGAATCCAGATTTACTAAATACCAATGCAGTTCAGATGTTGGAGCCTCCATAGAGATGTTAAGTACATATACAAACAAAGCTTTTAATAACTGAGCCGGCCGGGCGCGGTCGCTCAAGCCTGTAATCCCAGCACTTTGGGAGGCCGAGACGGGCGGATCACGAGGTCAGGAGATCGAGACCATCCTGGCTAACACGGTGAAACCCCGTCTCTACTAAAAAATACAAAAAACTAGCCGGGCGCGGTGGCGGGCGCCTGTAGTCCCAACTACTTGGGAGGCTGAGGCAGGAGAATGGCGTGAACCCGGGAGGTGGAGCTTGCAGTGAGCTGAGATCCGGCCACTGCACTCCAGCCTGGGCGGCAGAGCGAGACTCCGTCTCAAAAAAAAAAAAAAAAAAAAAAAAAAAAAAAAAAAATAACTGAGCCAGGGGCAGGGCTGGGAAGTTTCATCATGAGCCAACACCACAGAATCAAAAGCAGAGATTGGATTGGCATTTGTGATTGGATTACATATAGCACTGTGACAGGTATAGATATTTACACACTTCTTTTTGAACCTTTTCTTCTGTTTTTGCCTTTTTATTATTGTGGTGGTGGTGGTTTTTTGAGACAGGATTTAACTCTGTCACCCAGGTTGGGGTGCAGTGCCATGATCACGGCTCACTGCAGCCTCAAACTGGGCTCAATGATCCTCCAATCTTAGCCTCCCGAATAGCTGGGACTACAGGTGCATGCCACCACGCCTGGCTAGTTTTAAAGTTTTTTTGTAGAGATGAGGTCTCGCCATGTTGCCCAGGCTGGTCTTGAACACCTGGTCTCAAGCGAACCCCTGCCTTGGCCTCCCAAAGTGCTAGGATAACAGGCATAAGCCACCACACACGGCCTACCTTTTGGAACCTTATAATATGCTCCTGATGAATTCAGAAAGTAGAAATGACAGCAACCCATACATTGGAAAAGGTTAAAAGCCATGAAATATAACAGAGTCATCTTTTATTTGGGGTTTTGTTTTGCTGAGGAAAGTCATGAACACTTTTCGGTGACTGGGGGAGTTTAGTGCTAACCACAGCACTACAGGGTGGAAGTAGATGGTGCACTGGTATGGGGCTCAGGACATCTTCGGACAGAGAGACTATGAATTTACTCCAGGGAGCCTGGGGCCTAACGGACAGAATATTTACTCTTCCCTCCCTTGTTTGGATGACTGTTTGTATGTTGTAATCAAGCAAAGCCTTTCCAACCTGTTATTCGATGGTCAGGGAAATAATCATTGTGCAGGTTTAGACCTCCTGGCTGAAGAGCACTCACATGACAGCAGCCAAGTCACAATCCCCATCAGCTCTCTGGATGCGACACGTATTCACTCTTTCCAGAAGCCTTCTGGAAATGTGATGTGAAACCTCTGTGCAACAGCTGGAGGCAATGGGAAGTATGGCTAAAAGAAGAAAAGAAAGAAAATGTTAAATCTTACAGTTTATAGAACACTGGCATGGTTCTCATTTTAAAGATTTCAGAGAAACAGAATGTTAATCCACACAAACAAGGGGCAAACACGACTTTGTGAATACAGACTTGGGGCAGGATGTGGGGAAAAGAAAGAGATCAGCCTGTTACTGTGTCTATATAGAAAGAAGTAGACATAAGAGACTCCATTTTGTTCTGTATTTAAGATGCTGTTAATCTGTGACCCTACCCCCAACCTTGTCCTTGCAAGAGACATGTGCTATGGTAACTCAAGGTTTAATGGATTTTGGGCGTGCAGGGTGTGACTTTGTTCCTAGATAAGCTAGGTATTGTCTAAGGTTTCTCCCCATGTGATAGACTGAAACTATGCTGCCAAAAGGTTTATGGAGATGTTTGCATATGCATCTCAAGGCACAGCTTTGTCCTTTGAACTTATTCATGTCACAGAGGTGTTTGTTCATATGTCTTACTGCCGATTTCCTCTTTTTTCTTTGTTTATATTGTCCTGCCACTCCCCTGTCTTTAAGATGGTAAAGATAATTATCAATAAATACTAAGGGAACTCAGAGACCGGGGCCGGCGTGGGTCCTCTGTAAGCTGAGCGCCGGTCCCCTGGGCCCCCGCTTTTCTTTCTCTATACTTTGTCTCTGTGTCTTATTTCTTTTCTCAAGTCTCTCGTTCCACCTTACGAGAAACACCCACAGGTGTGGAGGGGCAGGCCACCCCTTCACAGGACATGTCCCCACTTTCTGGAATTTAAGCTATATTTGTGAAAGAGAAAATGTAAATTTAGGCAAAGACATAAAACAAGTGAAAGAGATGAAAAGAGTTACAGACAAGGATTCTGGTGGTACTGCAAACTGATCAAAGATGAAAGGAGTTAGGTCTGCACAGTGTTTCATGCATTTTGGAGCTGGAAAAGCATCAATTGTTCAGCAAACATTTATTGATTGCCCATTCTGTGACAGGCCCTGAGCTCTACATTCAAAGTCGAAATAAACAAGGCATAATCTGTCCTTGTGATGCTTAGTAGTGCAGTGGGAGGCAGGCCATAAACAAATAATCCCAACACAGTAAAATAAGTGTTAAAGAGTTATGTTAAAAGTGTTATGGGATTACACATGAAAAAAGCCAGATTTAAAAGGCCATACTGTATGATTCCCTTTATATGAAAGATCCAGAATGGGCAAATCCATAAAGACAGAAAGTAGATTAGTGGTTGCCAGGGGCTGGGGGGCTAAGGGATGGAGAGGGACGAATGAAAGGAGGGGACAGGGAGTGACTGCGAACAGGTACAAGATCTCTTTTTGGAGTGATGAAAATGTGCTGGAATGAGATATTGGTAATCGCACAGTTCTGTGAATATATTGAAGACCACTGAATTTTATACTTTAAAATGGAGAATTTTATTCAGTTGTTCCTACATTTATTAATGCATTTATTTCCTAAAACTAATTGCTTCTTTCTTTAGCTATGCTGTGCTGCCTAAGTCAAACTCTTAATATCCTGAACATGGTGTTGGGTTTATCCACGTATCCACCCATTCATTCATTCACCCATCTCACTATATGCGAATCACTATGCTAGACCCTGAAGGTAGAAAGATGAAGAGTTACTAGCCTCAAAGATTAGTTGTGACCCAAGCAACTCTAATAGGAAACGTACTTTCAGAAGCATGGTAGCAATTAAGAATCACAAGAAAATCTGTGTGTTTAGGAATTTGAGTTATCTGAGTGCTGATATGAATTCAAACAGTCTTAAGCCCGAAGAGTACCAGGGACCTATATATATACTTAGTAAAATGGATTGCATTTCTCAAATATTAATATAAACGTAGGATGGGCTCAGCTGGAGATCACTTGATCTAAGTCAGATTAACTATAAAAAGGCAAGAAGCAGGCCAGCATTTATTACATGTTAGTAGGTGCAACTAGTGCCCTCCAGAGGAAGCAGAAAATATAACAGGCCAGGAAACAACCTTGGAGAGAACACGGGAAGTTAGGCAATGGAGAACGTAAACTGGGTAGTTCCGAACAGGGCAACTGTAAAATTCTGTTAGGTAACATCGCCCCCTAGAGGTTCCCTCCTGTAGCCTCCTGTCAGAAAGAATATTTCCATTTTTAAAAAGCCATCAGCTACTTCCGTTTATTTCAATTATGACTCTAGAATTTCCATATAGTAGAGATTGTGGTGTGTCAATTAGGCTGAAAAAGATGATTATGTGACATTTCTTCAGTATTTACATAGTTTTGTTCAGATGATACTGAACAATGGTTGTTGGGGAGGCAAGCTGCTAAGAGATCAGGGAGGCCAAAACCTGTCTGCAAAAACCACCTTGGTCGGAATATAATGGAAAATAATCAGTTTATGTTCCAGAATTGGAGTTCACACAAACACAAACCTGTATGATGGAGAAGGGGTTCCCTTGAAGAGAAATATGTGACTATTACTGAAAATAAGAGAAGTCTTGCAGAGTGGGCTTGATAAAGCAACGGAGTCTAGAGGTATGAACGAGCAAGGATCGGAGGTATGCTGCAAGACTTTGCCTGATCCACCCCCAACTGCCTCTCTAACCCCTCCTAGAGGTGCTCCCTTTGCTTTGGGAGGACAAAGTCCAGCAGATCCACCTGGGAATTTCTCTGAAAAGTGATTTGTGAGATCAGCAGATGCGTTTCCCAGCTGGCCTCAGAAGCAGGCACTGAGGTTAGCTCTCTGGAGGAAGTGGGCAACCACCAGTGGGTTTCAAATGGATCCAGAGCAGCTGCCCAACAGAGGAACCACAAAACTGGGAGTAAGGTTTCTGATTAGGCAAGGAATCATCCCTCCTACAGTATCAGACCAACTTCCCCCAGACTCTTAGAGGGAAAGTACCCCTCTCCGGAACCCACTATTTGAGAATTGTCAAGAATATTTGGATTGAGAAATCCTGCAGCAACTTTGTAATTACTGCCAGGCAAGAAAGTGGGGACCCAGAACATCACAATTTCTACTCACCAGCCAGTGAAGCCCAGAGTATAGGAGTTCCATGGGCAGCATCTGATGTGTCTATGCAGTGAATTGAAATCAGTATTTAAATCATATTTGAATCCGTTTGCTCTGGCACTTTTGAGATTGTATCAACTTTTGCTTCATTAAAAATACTGGTGTGCTTCTGTAGAGTGTGTGTGAAAGAAAGTAGGGGGAAAATATTTCTAACAAAAGAGAAAATGTGGCAAGGGCTATGTGATAAACAGAATGATATCTGGAACACTAAAAGGCAGAAGCAATAAATTATAACATAGAGACTTAGGTTCATCTTTATCAAGGTGGTGGCATTTGAGCTGAAAACTTGAAAATGGATAGAATATGAATAGGGCAGTAAATATAGAGGAGACAGTGGGTGTAAAGATACAAATGTGGAAAAAGGCAGATTCATGCCAATTTGATTGGAATACAGAATTTACGAATGTAAGTTGTAGGAGGATGACATGAAAAGCATTTTGAGACCAGACAGCTTTATATTTTATACCAATAACATAAGTTCAGTAACCTCTTTCTATGGAAACTTTAAAAATCAAGACATGATAATTCACCTAAACTAATACTTCTGTGGAAATGTAGATATGAATAAATAAATGATGACTTTACTACTATTCTCCTTTCCTCGTGAAATATTTCAACACAGAGGAACTACCAAGAATAATAAAAACACCTATATACTCATCACCCAAATGTTATTAATGTTAAATCTTTTCCATATTTGCCTTCAGTCTTATTTTTAAGTAACTGTTTCCAGTACTTTACTGTAACAAGCAAGGCTACAACAAACGTCCTAATGATAACAGACATTTATTGAGTTCTTACTTTGTGCCAGGCACTAGTGTAACTGCCATGTGTGAATTAATTTATATAATCTACACAGCAACTATATATAGAAGGAAGTATATTAATCACCATTTTATAAATGGGTAATAATATAGAGAAAAACTACATAACTTCCCGGAGATCAAAGGACCAAGAAATAACTGGTGGGGCTGGAATTTGAATATATGCATTCTGGCACTTTTTAGACCTTTTGGTTACACTTTATTTATTTATTTATTTATTGTATTACAACTAAGATCTGAAAAATATTGTCTTCCCATTCATAAATATGGAATTATCTCTCTAGCTATTCAGATTTTCCTGGTCCTCCAAGATCTTTACGAAAATAACGATAAGTAAGTCATGCTGCTATAAGGACACATGCACACGTATGTTTATTGTGGCACTGTTCACAATAGCAAAGACTTGGAATCAACCCAAATGTCCATGACAGACTGGATTAAGAAAATGTGGCACATATACACCATGGAATACTATGCAGCCATAAAAAAGGATGAGTTTGTGTCCTTTGTAGGGACATGGATACATCTGGAAACCATCATTCTCAGCAAACTATTGCAAGAACAGAAAACCAAATACCGCATGTTCTCACTCATAGGTGGGAATTGAACAATGAGATCACTTGGACACAGGAAGGGGATCATCACACACCGGGTCCTATTGTGGGGAGGGAGGGGGAGGGATAGCATTAGGAGGAATACCTAATGTAAATGACGAGTTAATGGGTGCAGCACACCAACATGGCACATGTATACATATGTAACAAACCTGCACGTTGTGCACATTGTACCCTAGAACTTAAATTTAAAAAAAAAAAAGTCTTAGAACACAGAGGTCAGTGAAAACCTTAACTGGTGGGAATAGAGAGAAAACAAACTGAGATAGTATTTTAGAAGACATAAGTTAAAAAAAGAAAAGTTTGACGAACTGTCTACTGAAACATGTAATTTTTCCCATAACAGACAGTAAATTATAACTGAAAATTGTAAAAAAAAAAAAAAAAAAAAAAAGAAAAGAATGATAAGATAATGTTGTATATCTTAGATCTATATTTAGGTACCTTTTAAATTTTGTTGTATTGTGAATGAGCTTTTTAAAAATACTTTTTTCTAATTAGTTAATTTTTATGTATAAGAATTCTATTGATTATTTAATGTTGCTCTTGTATCCAGCAACCTTGCTGAATTTTTTTATTTGTGATAGTTTGGAATAGATATTCCAGTTTTATAGGTAAATCGTCATTTTTATCTCTTTCTTTCTCAATTCCTGTGTAGGAAATAAAGGCTTTTTCTCTTTTAAAATCTGTTACTTTGCTAAATGCCTAGAACAGTGCCTAGCCCATTGAAAGTTCAACACATAATTTTAAATTGCTGTGGTGGATCAATCTATTTTCTTCCTTGCCCTCCTGGGATAAACCATACTTATTCATAACATATTAATTTTTATATCTTGTATAAGATTTGCTATTTATTAATATTTTTGCACCTCTGTTCATAAATTCATCTACACTTTTACACCCTGTTACCATCCTTCCATGTTTTGGGTATTAAGGGGTATGTTAATCTCAACAATGCATTGGGTATTCTTCTCTGTTCTTCCATCCTTTGAAAGAGTTTGTATAAGATAAAGATTTTCGGTTCCTCCAATTTTTGGTAAAACTTCAAAAACTATCTAGGCCTGGTGTCTGAGGAAAGATAAAATTTAAGTTGGATTTGTTATTGGCTAACTTGTGTGTGTGTGTGTAAATAAATACATATATATATATTTACATATATATATATTTATTATTTTTCCAAGAAATTATTCATTTTATCCATAATTTCTACTTTATTCTCACAAAATTTCATAGGTTTGTCTTACTGTATTTGCAGTCATGACTCTTTTTTTAAATTCTTAGTGTTTGAAGAGAAGTTTCCTGTGCAAAGTAACAGTTTAAAAGTTTGAGCCAGGTGTGGTGGCTCATACCTATAATCCCACTACTTTGGGAGACTGAGGTGGGAGGATTGCTTGAGGCCAGGAGTTCAGGACCAGCCTGGGCAACATAGTGAGACCCTGTCTCTACAAAAAATTTAAAAGATTAGCCAGGCGTTGTGGCCCACCTACTCGGAGGCTAAGGCAGGGGGATCGCTTGAGCCCAGGAGTTGGAGGCTTTGATCCGCCACTGCGTTATAGGAAAGGGGTCCCCATCCAGACCCCAAGAGAGGGTTATTGGATTTCACGCAAGAAAGAATTTAGGGCAACTCTGCAGTGCAAAGTGAAAGCAAGTTTATTAAGAAAGCAAAGGAATAAAAGAATGGCTACTTCAAAGAGCAGCCCTGAGGGCGACTGGTTGCTCATTTGTATGGTTATTTCTTGATGATATGCTAAACAAGGAGTGGACTATTCACGCCCTCCCCCTCCCCCTCCCCCCCTTTTTTTTTGAGAGGGAGTCTCCTCTGTGGCCCAGGCTGGAGTGCAGTGGAGCGATCTCTGCTCACTGCAAGCTCTGCCTCCCGGGTTCACCCCATTCTCCTGGCTCAGCCTCCCCGGTAGCTGGGCTACAGGCCCCCACCAGCACACCTGGCTAATTTTTTTTGTATTTTTAGTAGAGATGGGGTTTGTGTTAGCCAGGATGGTCTCATCTCCTGACCTCGTGATCCGCCCGCCTCGGCCTCCCTAAGTGCTAGGATTACAGGCGTGAGCCACCACCGTGCCCGGCCCATGTCTCCCCTTTTTAGACCATAGGGTAACCTCCTGACGTTGCCATGGCATTTGTAAACTGTCATGGCGCTGATGGGAGTGTAGTAGTGAGAGCGACCAGAAGTTACTCTTGGGGCCATTTTGGTTTTGGTAGGATTTAGCTGACTTCTTCACTGCAACCTGTTTTATTAGCAAGGTCTTTTATGACCTGTATTTTTTGCTGACCTATCTCATCCTGTGACTTAGATGGGAAGGCAGCTTAGTAGGTTTCTGCCTCATTTTACCTAGCTCCTATTTTAAGATGGAGTTGCTCTGGTTCACTCGCCTCTGACAATTGCATTGCAGCCTGGGCGACAGAGACCTTGTCTCTGATAATAAATACATGTTTGGATATAAATAATAATATATATTTATAAACTTACAAGTGTAAGTTGCTGAGAAACAAAGCATTCAACTCATGGGTTAAAGAGGAAACCACAAAATCTTATTCTGGAAAATAGTGAAAGTACTATTTATTATAATGGGTGGGATACAGTTAAATTTAGCCCTAAATGCATTTATTTAAAACACATATACGGAAAAAACGTGTGTTCAACTAAAAACCCGGAAAAGGAAAATCAGAAGAAACAAAGCACGAGAAAAAAAAAAAAGAAAAGCACGACGTTATGGCGCTTCGGGGCTGTCGCGCTACTGGTGTCTGTAGTCGTGGCTACTGCGGACCAGGAGAGACTGAAGTGGAAAACCGCGGGCGGTAGCGGAAGCCAAGACCAAGGAAGAGAGTGGGAAGTGCAGAGTGACAGCAACAAGAAACCGGTGGCGCGGGACGTCGTCTACCTGGGCGACGTCCAGCTGCCCTTGCGGCCTCTGCGCGTGCGCAACCTGGTTGGCGCCCCTGACCTGGTGAGCCAGGTTTCTTTAAGGCCGTGGACGGTTCCTACCGGCGCGGGGAGAGGACCGGGCGTGAAGAAGCTGCCGAAGTATAACAAGTACTACGCGAAGGGTAGGGTGGAGTCCCAGGCATTGCTTGACGGCCGGACGCGGAGACGCCCACGTCTCCCGCAAGCGCACGCCTGGACCCAGGGCAGCCGGCTGGGGCGCCCAGGACCAGGCCTGGCCTACCGCGGGCTGCCCTTCGCAGAGCTGCAGGAGAAATCTAGTTGTATTGTGCACGCATTTCCTTAACCCTTACTAGTATTTTTTTTGATTGATCAGTTTTTGATGCGGGTATGTTAAACTGTTACTGGGATTGTGCCAGCTTTTTTTTTTTTTTTTTTCTTCTTGCAATTCTGTCTACTTTTCTGATATAACACTTGGGGTTATGTTTTCAGACGCCTAAGTACACTGCTGGTCCACAGCCAGGATTAGAATGAGGCAGGAGCCTCAGGTGCAGAATTTAAGGAACCGCCAAAAGAGCTCCGTAATGAAGATGAGCAATATTTGGATGCAATATTTTTCAAAATAAAAATTAATGCAAAAAAGTCTATGATTAGTAAAATGCTGCAATTTTAAATAAAAAAAAATCTGACTGCATTTTGACGACTCGATCACCTCTCTTGCCTCACAGGAGTCTGGGCCCTAGAGATAGCTTTTCGGTGAAGTGAACTTTTTTATCTTTCGGTAAGATTCCTCTGTTTCTACTGTAGCTTTTTGCTTAAATAGTATTTTTCTGTTATTGACATTGCTACACTGATGTTTTGGTTTGTATTCATTTATTCTATCTTTTTTACGATTTTAAATCCTTTTTCTTTGCTTTTTATTCTTTCTGTTGGAAAGGTATTTTCTATATTTCCTTTATTAATATTTTTCTACTAAAAATTTAGCCTGAGTTGAGTCAAGAAAAATCTCCCTTGGGAAAATGTCTGCAGTATCTAGTACTGACATGTTTCTTTTTGAATGGTAGAAGTGTGTTATTTTACTAATGAAAGTGATAGTCATGTCAGTAAAATTCTAGAAGCATTTATAGAGTGCTGCCTACATTGTATCAGTCTTTGTAACAGACACCGAGTATATAAGAATTAATAAGTCATAGACCTACTCTCAGGGCACCTACAATTAGCAGACTTTTTTTTTTCTTTTTCTCCTTCAGGTGGGATCTTGCTCTGTCACCCAAGCCAGAGTGCTGGAGTGCAGTGGTACAAACACAGCTGACTGCAGTCTTCACCTCCTGGGCTCAAGTGATCATCTTGCCTCAGCCTCCCGTGTAGCTGGGACCACCGGTGCACACCACCATGCCCGGCTAACTTTCTTTATTTTTTTGTAGAGATGGGGTCTCACTTTGTGCCCAGGCTGAGCAGACATTTTTCTAACATTATCTCATTAGACATCTCTGCTGCATTTAACACTTGCCCATTCCTTCCTTGAAAATTTCCATATTCTTAATTACCAGTCTCTTCTAATTTTCTGAATAATGAGAAACTATGGCCAGGCGCGGTGGCTCACTCCTGTAATCCCAGCACTTTGGGAGGCTGAGGCAGGTGGATCACAAGATCAGAAGTTCAAGACCAGCCTGGCCAAGATGGTGAAACCCCACCTTTACTAAAAATACAAAAAATTAGCTGGGCGTGGTGGCAGACGCCTGTAATCCCAGCTACTCAGGAGACTGAGGCAGCGAATTGCTTGAACCCGGGAGGTGGAGGTTGCAGTGAGTCGAGATTGCGCCACTGCACTTCAGCCTGGGTGACAGAGCGAGACTCCATCTCATTAAAAAAAACAAAAACCAGAAATTACTTTCTCTGCTTCTTGAATGCGTCCTCCTTTGCCCTTTCCTCAATAGTTAGCATTCTCAAAGTTCCATCCCTAACCTACTGCTCTTTTCTTTCCACATCTCATGTTTAAAATTTTTACTATGTTGGTAACTTCAAAATGGGTTTTTTACCTCTACCCAAATATTCTGATGTATATCCACCTGCTATTGAACATGCACTTGGATATCCCACAGGCACCCCAAACTCAACAGAGCCCCAACTGAAGACATCATCTCACTTTAAATCTACTTCTGTTTTCCTTTTCTCATCTCATTTAATCACTTTGTACTGTTATCGAAGTGTAATTCTGTCTTCCTTCTGCACTCCCATGGCCAGTCAAACTCCTGTAGATTGTATTTTCCTTAATGCTTTTCACATCTGTCTCCTCTTCATCCTTGTTACCACTCTTAGTTCAGGACCTCATTAATTGGCTTCTGGACTGCTGAACCTCTCAGTTGTCTACTTTTTTCCAATTATATCATTTCCCCATTTGAATCTGAAGTCCCACAGTACCTTGTGCTTTCCTATATCTTTGTCTTTACCATGTATGAAATTAAGAGTCTATGACTGTCTTTTGACTGTAAACTCCCACAGGGCATCTTTGTAACCCCCCACCACATAGCACATTGTCTGGTATTAGTGCTAAGTAAGTTTCTTAGACTGAACTAAGCTCTGATCTTATCAGTGTTTCATTTTTATCTTGTTTTAAGGCTTTTAATGTATAAAATATTTTTGCTTTTTTTCTAGGAATAGTATTTTCAGTTTTTGGTCAAGGTCTTATGTCCCAAATTACCTACAATTACACAGTGCTTTTCAGGTACCATCCTTTGCAGGTACCATCCCTGCACATTGAAGTAATTAGGGGTCAGTAAATATAATAAATCATTTGTTCACTATGTGTAATATTTTAAAGATGTTTTTAGTATCCGAATAAAAGCATTCCTATTTGTCTTATTATGGTGTTATTTCTTTTCTTTCCTTTTTTCTTTTCTTCTTTTTTTTTGGGAGATGGTCTTGCTCTGTTGCCCCGGCTGGAGCACAATGGTGCAATCATGGCTCACTGCGGCCTTGAATGCCCAGGCTCAAGTGATCCTCCTGCCTTAGCTGCCCAAGTAGCTGGGAATACAGGTGCACCCACTACGCCTGGCTAATTTTTAAAAATTTTTGCAGAAACAGGGTGTTGTGTGTTGCCCAGGCTGGTCTCAAACTCCTAGCCTCAAGCGATCCTCCCACCTCAGCCTCCCAAAGTGCAAGGATTATAGGCATGAGCCACTGCACCTGGCCTTATTCTGGTGTTATTTCTATTAGCTTTGGATTGTTGTCATTATTATTCCCAGTATTAAGTGTATGGATGATTTTCCAGGAATGTGAGTCCCTGTTTTGGTTCTGTCTATGATCCGGTTTTGGTCACTAGACGGCTGTAAAGATCTCTCAGTGCTCAAGAACTGTTGGCACTGCACATAAAATTTGTGATACAAAAATTAGATTCTGGGTTTTGTTGTTGTTGGAGAACGGTATCTCATTTTATTGCCCAGGCAGATCTCGAACTCCTAGACTCAAGCTATCCTCCCACCTTTGTCTCCCTAAGTGCTGGGATGACAGGTATGAGCCACCGTGCCTGGCAGATTTTGGGTTTTAAGGAAAGGATCCTGCTATTATAGAGAGGTGAACCGCTTCCTCGCTTAGTTGTATAGGATCTCACTACTCAAAGTGTGGTACCCAGAGCCACAACAATGGCATCACCTGGGAGCTGATTAGAAATGCAGTTTGAAAAGCACTGGTACTGTATACAGAACACAGCAAAATAGAAACAGTAAAGAAAGGCACATGCAATTATTGCAGAAAAGATTTGCAGACTAAAGATAAAAATGACAGATTCACTTAGCTACTAGCAGTGTCTCAAGACTGACTGCAATTTAAGAAGGGCAGTCTGAGTGCAGTGGCTCACACCTGTAATCCCAGCATTTTGGGAGGCCGAGGTGGGTGGATCATGAGGTCAGGAGTTCGAGACCAGCCTGGCCAACATGGTGAAACCCCGTCTCTACTAAAAATACAAAAAATTAGCTGGACGTGGTGGCAGGCGCCTGTAATGCCAGCTACTCAGGAGGCTGAGACAGGAGAATTGCTTGAACCTGGGAGGCAAAGGTTGCGGTAAGCAGAGACCACACCACTGCACTCCAGCCTGGGCAACAGAGCAAGACTCCATCGAAAAAAAGAAAAAAAAGGCAACACATAATGTTCAGAATGTGGTTAGAACACATCCCTCCATTCTCGTGGACCTCACGCCTTAATGTAGCCAGATCGTGCGGTGGGTGCTGACACATGGCCCCTGCTGTCACTAAGTGGGCAGGAAAGACTCAATAATCCATGATATGTGGAACTGCTATTCCCAAGTAAAGTCCTCCAAGATACTTTTTGGAACCCTGGGATAATGTTTGGGGGCATGGAGAGTGGATGGGGATTTTTCTTTGCTTTAACATGATACAGACACTAGAGTGGTCAGGGGATAGTCTTGAAGGGGTTTGGATAATTTTGTGCCATAAAAACATCCTGAGAGGCTTTGTAGCATGGTACTTAAACATGTGGAGACTACCAGGTTTAAATTCTGTTTCTGCTACCTACTAGCTGACCTTGGGTGAGTTAATTCTCTGTGTCTCAATCCTTTTATCTGTAATATGGGGGTGGTCCTAGCATCTACCTCAGGGTTATTGTGAAGATTGCATGAGTTTGTATATTTAAGTGCTTAGAACAGGAGTGACAACAGATAGCACTCAATAAACGGAAACAAAAAGGACATATGTGGGCCAATATGCAGTACAGTCCCTGGCTCAGTAAGTATACAGGTGCCCATTAAGTGTTTGTGGAATGTGCCACTTGTTTATTTATTTTCCCTCAGTTTCAAACTCACCCTGTTCTATGAAATTGAGATGGGCCCTTAAATATTTTTCCTTGGCTAGCTGGCACGTTGTTAAACTTTATCTGTAGAAGATATTGAAGGGACATTGCAGGAAGAGGGGGTTTTCCTTCCTGGCTCCAGGGTTCTCTCATCAGATTCCTGTAGACCCAGCTCCTGCAGTGCTTTAGCTTCTTCAGTGCATGGCAATTAGTAGCACCCCTACAGGCAGGTTTGTAGCCCAGTGCCTCCAGTGAGATGCTTTCCTGTGACAGACTTTCCCCTACAAACTAGAAGGTGGATATCCAGCATATTCTGCCAGTACAGATCAGGTGACTTTTCTGCCATTTGGTGAGCCATGGCTGGATCTCAGCTGGAGAGGGTAAGGGTGCAGGAACTCTTCCTTGAGTGATCTGTTTTTGCCCTTGGAATATCTGCTTTTCCTACATTCCTTAAAATTATCTTTCTTTCTAGCCTATTTCTTGTTATAGTTAATAATTTGTTCATATTAAACTTTCAAATTATCTGGTTTCTGTCTCCTGATAGGACCCTGATTGATATTAATAATAAATGAAACATTAACATTCCCAGTTGTTCTGAGAAGTTTAAATGTTTTATATAAGATGAAGCTGCAGATTTTCAGAATTTTTGTGTTGAATAGATTTACTGTTATCTATGATTAAAATACATGTTAAGACAATATGTAGATTGTGATCCCATTTCTGTTTTTTTTTTTTTAATTTTTTTATTTTGTATTTTTATTTTTCTTCTGAGATGGAGTTTTGCTCTGTCGCCCAGGCTGGAGTGCAGTGGCGCGATCTTGGCTCACTGCAAACTCCACTTCCCAGGTTCACGCCATTCTCCTGCCTCAGCCTCCCAAGTGCCCGGGACTACAGGCACCCACCACCACACCTGGCTAATTTTTTGTATTTTTAGTAGAGACGGGGTTTCACCATGTTAGCCAGGATGGTCTCGATCTCATGACCTCGTGATCCACCCACCTCAGTCTCCTAAAGTGCTGAGATTACAGGTGTGAGCCACCACAACCGGCCATCCTGTTTCTGTCTTAAAAAATTGGTGTGTGCTGGTTCCATGGCCGAATAGGAACAGCTCCGGTCTACAGCTCTCAGTGTGAGCGATGCAGAAGATGGGTGATTTCTGCATTTCCAACTGAGGTACCGGGTTCATCTCACTGGGGCTTGTTGGACAGTGGGTGCAGTCCACGGAGTGTGAGCCAAAGCAGGGTGGGGTGTTGTCTCACTAGGAAAGTGCAAGGGGTCAGGGAATTCCCTTTCCTAGCCAAAGGAAGCCGTGACAGATGGTACCTGGAAAATCAGGACACTCCCACCCTAATACTGCACTTTTCCAATGGTCTTAGCAAACGGCACACCAGTAGATTATATCCCGTGCCTGGCTCAGAGGGTCCCATGCCCATGGAGCCTTGCTCACTGCTAGCACAGCAGTCTGAGATCAAACTGCAAGGCAGCAGCTAGGCTAGGGGACGGGCGTCCGCCATTACTGAGGCTTGAGTAGGTAAACAAAGCGGCCAGGAAGCTCGAACTGGGTGGAGCGCACCACAGCTCAAGGAGGCCTGCCTGCCTCTGTAGTCTTCACCTCTGGGGGCAGGGCATAACTGAACAAAAGACAGCAGAAACTTCTGCAGACTTAAACGTCCCTGTCTGACAGCTTTGAAGAGAGCAGTGGTTCTCCCAGCATGGAGTTTGAGATCTGAGAACAGACAGATTGCCTCCTCAAGTGGGTCCTTGACCCCCCGAGTAGCCTAACTGGGAGACTTGTCCCAGTAGGGGCCGACTGACACCTCATACAGCCAGGTGCCCCTCTGAGACGAAGCTTCCAGCAGAAGGATCAGGCAGCAACATTTGCTGTTCTGCAATATTTGCTGTTCTGCAGCCTCCACTGGTGATACCCAGGAAAACAGGGTCTGGAGTGAACCTCTAGCAAACTCCAACAGACCTGCAGCTGAGAGTCCTGACTGTTAGAAGGAAAACTAACCAACAGAAAGGACATCGACACCAAAACCCCATCTGTACGTCACCATCATCAAAGACCAAAGGTAGATAAAACCACAAAGATGAGGAGAAACCAGAGCAGAAAAGCTGAAAATTCTGAAAATCAGAGTGCCTCTTCTCCTCCAAAGGAATGCAGCTCCTCACCAGCAATGGAACAAAGCTGGACAGAGAATGAATGTGACGAGTTGAGAGAAGAAGGCTTCAGACGATCGGTAATAACAAACTTCTCTGAGCTAAAGGAGGATGTTTGAACACATTGCAAAGAAGCTAAAAACCTTGAAAAAAGATTAGATGAATGCCCAACTAGAATAAACAGCATAGAGAAGATCTTAAGGGACCGGATGGAGCTGAAAACCATGGCACAAGAACTATGTGATGCATGCACAAGCTTCAGTAGCCGATTCAATCAAGTGGAAGAAAGGGTATCAGTGATTGAAGATCAAAAGAATGAGATGAAGCGAGAAGAGAAGCTTAGAGAAAAAAGAGTAAAAAAAAAAAAAACGAACAAAGCCTCCAAGAAATACGGGACTATGTGAAAAGACCAAATCTACATCTGATTTGTGTACCTGAAAGTGACGGGGAGAATGGAAACAAGTTAGAAAACACTCTTCAGAATATTATCCAGGAGAACTTTCCCAAACTAGCAAGGCAGGCCAACATTCAAACTCAGGAAATACAGAGAATGCCACAAAGATACTCCTCAAGAAGAGCAACTCCAAGACACATAATTGTCAGATTCACCAAAGTTGAAATGAAAGAAAAATTGTTAAGGGCAGCCAGAGAGAAAGGTCAGGTTACCCACAAAGGGAAACCCATCAGACTAACAGCAGATCTCTCAGCAGAAACTCTAGAAGCCAGAAGACAGTGGAGGCCAATATTCAACATTCTTAAAGAAAAGAATTTTCAACCCAGAATTTCATATCCAGCCAAATTAAGCTTCATAAGTGAAGGAGAAATAAAATCCTTTACAGACAAACAAATGCTGAGAGATTCTGTCACCACCAGGCCTGCCTTACAAGAGCTCCTGAAGG